GATACAGGTGTCGTTGAAGAGATTTCCCACACTCCACACCACACACAATCACAAAAACCATAAGGGTTCTCCGCTATCATCCAAGTTCAATGATATCAGCGCCTGGTTCTAGTGACTTTTCGGCAGAAGATCTTGATAGATAGTTAGATTAAGAAGCTGGGATACAACATCCATATCATCGGTTGTTTACATTTTTTTCTGATCGGTTCTGCTAGGACGTAGAAATGGCCGGTCATTGAATGAGGATATGGTATTCCAAGCTCTGACCATTTTTGCAAGTGTTTCAGCTGGAATTGGCTCCTGCACTTTCGCCTCGGCACACTGAAAGAGTATTTTGTATGAAAATCTTTCACATTCTCTCAGCAAACTTCAAGTTTCAGATGAAATTGCGAATGGTTTATAATTTAAGAAAAATTTTAGCAAGATTTCTTCAAATATACCTATAGAAAACGTTTGTAGGCTTCGTAAATATTTCAATTCAGAATTCAACTTTTGTTTTTAGAAACTTTAATATTTCCTCACTATTTTTCTTCACTCTATTCGTCATTATTTTCTACGATATAAATTGATGATGTGCAAATATATTCGAAATGATATCAACAGATCTCGAAATCTCAAACAAAAGATCTGAAACTGGCACGGATTCATCAATTCCTATAATGATTTTTAGCAGATTATCACAAAATCGTTCCTTGATTGAAGCGAGCGACACTGATTGGTCAAATGATCTATTATAGATTTAATTTTTACATCATCCACTAAAGATATTATTCCAATATTCATTCGAACGTTTGTAGTATCTAGTACTTGCTGTAAATCTTACGAGAGAAGTCCTTCAAATGGTAAATAGCTTTCTAGTCGAGACTATATACCTTATGTAGACCTAAATGAGTTATTAATACGTTGAAAAGAGTTCGAACCCTTAGCTTACTGTTGCGGATATACTGCATTTTTGCGATATTTTTTTAATGAATGCTATGGTTCTTGTCAGCAACATTGAAAAAGTTGATTTTCAAATTTCGACTGCAAACTTTACATAGAGATATAGATCTTCACGAGGGTAACTTTTAATGAATATTTCAGATATTTTCGTTGTTCTTATTCTAAGATACAGCTATGTTAAAAGCTTGTCTTTCACACGACTACTCCTATATATATATATCAGCAAATATGATGTTCTTATTTCAGGATAGAAGCAAATCAAAAGACCTGAAATTAGTCTGATTAAAATCTGTCTGCATCAAGTCAAAATTTGGAAACCAACTTTTTTTGGTATTTCTGAGAACGATTATAAAATTCATGTAAAAAAATACCGTAACAGTGCGGTATCTCCACAAAAATAAGCTAAGGACCTGAATCCTTTTCAGAATATTCATAGCTCAATTTGATCTAGATAATACACATCGTTTCGATTTAAAAGCAATTTATCAGTTGGAGGACTTCCCTTGTCAGATCTATTTTTGATATACTGATTATTAAACTATTCAAATACAATATTCTGTTTTTAAGCCTCTTGAATCAGTTTCTTCACACGAAAATAAATTTAGAATAAACTATATCAATAATTGTAACACTTACAAGCAGCAACGATTAAATCTGTAAGACGTCCTTTATTAGATTGTTTTTGAAAAAATCGTACTCGTTTTATATAAGCGACTCCATATTCAGGCAACATAAAACCGCCATCCATCATTGTATATTTCAAATCTAATAATGCACGGTAAGCATCAGAATTATAGAGAATAACCTAGAATTAAAATAAAGAATTTCAAAACAAATTCAAATAAAATTTTTATCCTAACTTCTTCTTGTGTTATAGCCTGTTCTAGATAATAACCACCAGGCATACGTTCATCAGCAAAATCGAGTACAATCACTTGTTTATCATTGGGCACAGTAAAAACAGCATCTTGAATAGCTAATACAACAAATCGTATTATTCCTGAATGTTTTCGTTCATGAACCGGTGAATTTAATAGAGCATTTCTTGCATCACTATCTGTTATTGGATTATAATTATTAGAAGATATGAGTGTTTGAATTTGATCATAATTCCAATAAATTTTAAGTTCATTTGGTTGAAAACCATCTGAACGATACCGAGATATATATTCACGAGACTTTAATGGACCTGGGGAATGAGTAGGTATTTTTAATTGCCAATAGTTTCCTAATTTTTTAGCATTATATTGTAGTTGATATGATTCAATTGTATTTTTTAACTGCTGATAATTTTCGTTAACAATTGACCAATCAAAATTTGGATAACATTCATAGATAAAATTAAGTACTTGTTTATTATTTGGTGTTGATTTAATTGATAATAAAAAGTAAAGCATCGTTCGACGACTATGATGAGAATCAACTCGTTTTTTCCATTTTTTATCATTTGTCGGTAGAAATGCAATACTTATTATTGAACATATATCACATTTACGTAATGAATGTACCGGTACATACATGTATGTATCTTTTATTTCTTGCTGCATTGATTTGAAACAAAATGATTGAAAAAATAGTAATATTGGAAAAATTGACATGTATATTTTATTTAACAGAATAATTATTCAATATTCTAGATAATAAAGAATGATTTAGCGCACAAATGAAGATCTTTTTTTTTT